GCTTGGGGAAGAAATGAACTGGGTGGCCCTGGATGATGCATTAAGAGTTCAATCAAATGAGAAAATGTAACAGTACAGAAATGTTGAGCCAATCAACAAAGTATCACTTGACTGACTGTAGCCCATCTTGACCCACGTGTCATCAGCTGAACTGAATGAAAAAGCTCCATTTTTAACAATTCAGGCTCTGAGCAACAGGCCTTTGCACCAGTAGAAAGAGAGCTTTCATTATATTTATAGAACCTTTTATGCATCTGTTAAAGTATTATTTGATAGGTCATTTTAATCTGAAGAGGTTGGTTGGCATTTTTCCTGTTTTCAAGGTTTCTGGCTCTCCTCCCTCCACCTGCTCATAAAAGTGGTATCTGTCATATAGGGGGAGGTTTGGTTTCTCTGCATTTTGAAATGAATTGAGCATATTTCCTCTACATATTACAGTATTTATTGCTTTTTTATGCATTTATATCACACACTAGATCATAACATCTCTGAGCAAAGTACAAGAAAAGCAATATAAACAAATGCAAATAGTTTTAAACATGACATTATTAGACAGTTAGAACTATGTAAGACATATAGGAAAATGTAATCAATTTGAAACCTTTAAATAGTGTAAATACTACATACTCCCCCCCAGGTTTGTGTTCAATTTGACTTGGGGAGGAAAGTGTGTGCAAGCAAGGATTCTCACCCCTGTGAAAACCAGTGGGTACAAAGGACTCTCTCTAGCCCTTTGAATCAGACATGGGTGTCAGACCAAGAGCAACAACATTTTATTAAACGTTCATTTAAACTAGGAAGTGCAAGTAGGGGAGACATCATAATCATGAAGGTGGTTTTTCTAGGATAAGACTTATCTAGTTCACTTCTGGTATGTTGACTTCCATTTGGAAGGTGGAGCCTCCAGGCTCAGATGCAACAGGGACTCGTAATGTCTGAGCGTTCTGAGCCCAGAGACTGAATACTCGAAGCTAAGTTTTCGTAATTGGGGGTTAGAAAAAGGGAGGGGAGCCCAGAGACTGAATACTCGAAGCTAAGCTTTCGTAATTTTGGGGTTAGAAAAGGGGAGGGATGTTATAAATGGGGGTGTCTTATAAATGGAAAAATACAGTAATTACAACAAATGCCTGTGACAAACAGCATTTTATTGTTGGTGCTGCTGTTGTATTCCTGTAGAGCTACGAGTAGGTAGGTCGTACCATACTACGAGTAGGTAGCTCGTAGTAGGTCAGGGCCACATATCAGTGAGGGGCTGAAGACAGAAGTGGACAAGTCAGATCCAAAATAAAGGATGTAAAAAAATTGTTGTTGCTGAGATTTTGACCAAGATATGTCATATCAGCATGGTGAGAATTCTTCATTTCATGTGGCATCACATATTATTTCTATAATAATTTCTGCGTTGTTTTGTCTCACCACAAAAAAAAAACTTTTCTTTCTCTAAAGCTAAACATGCAAACACACAGCAAAAGATCACAAGGACAGATCCATCCAGTGCTGGTATGCTTGCTAATTAATGCAAGAAGGCAACACTTACCACATTTTTTGGGATGGATGCTTCATATTTTACACTCGTGTGGTGTAGTGGACAGAGTGATGGACTAGGACTTCAGAGACCAGGGTTTGAATCCCCATTTGACCTTGGAAGCTCACTGAGTCAGGGTTTGAATCCCCATTTGACCTTGGAAATTCACTGAGGGAGTGCAAACGGAAAAATCACTCCTTAAATATCTCACTTCCTGGAAAGTCCCATCTGGGTCAGCATAAGTTGATTCTGACTTGATGGGACGTAAATAACTAACACATTTCACAGAAACAGAAAAATGGGCTTAGAAATGCATGAAATTTCTCAAAGATCAATAACGTTGAGGTATAAAGTCAAAGGACAGGCTAGTAATGTATGACATAAATAGGCATTTAAACACACTCTAATAGAGTTGATGCCATCGGGTGATCTGTTTAAGCCTGAGCTTTACTGTGTTCACAATCATCTCCTGTCATCTATGGTTCGTAAGAATTATGTGAATGCTAGAAGGCTATGTATGCTGCATGAAAGTTCATCACTTTAGTGTCTTTCTCTTTTTTCCCCTTTCCATTTCCCCTCTTCTTTTCTTTTCCTTTTCTCCTTTTATGGTTTGTATGTTTCTATTGAAGAGCTTAGGAAAAAATCACACAATTTTCCATGATCTGCTTGGGTGGGGGTAGGGGTCCAGGATAGATAATTTTTTCATTTTCCTCTCAACAGTTTTAGTTGTGCTTTTAAGGAGCTCCAAACTCTTTCACTAAACATTTGTTTTCTCTGGAAATTCAGATATACCACTCGTACATCTACTCTTACCTCCTTCCAACTTCAAACTGATCCTGTTCTTCCTCTGTAGTCCTGTTGTTTTGGAACTTAGTTTATTTTGATTTCATATACAAAGAATGGTAATTTGAATGGATATAATATTCTGGCTTATCTTCTGATTACTTTGGACAATTTGCAGGCAGTGGGTTGGCGTCCTGCATGCTGTAAAGTGGCGAAACAACTTTATGTTTGTTGTGAGACCTTGTGTAGGCTAGACAGCCAATTACTTTAATCATGAGCTATCATTTCCAATAAGGATAATGTCTCTGTTATGTTAGACAACAGGCAAACACTGCAAAAATGAAATTAGCTCAAGAAACTGCTCTATCAATGCTGAGTTTTCTTGATCTCTCTCATGAGGGTAGTGGTGGAATCCATATAAAACTCCAGGTTTGTTTGGAGAATTTTAAGTGCTGTGGGGGAGTGGAGGGAAAGCAAGGCTGTAAGTGTATTTTAAACTCTCCAATAGCCAGTCTCAAAACAAAGCACGCTAAATGCAAGATGCAGAAGTCCATGTAAGTATGTGCTATGAGAAACAGGCATCTTTCAACATGTCTTCATAATTTGTGGTAAAGGAGTTGTCTAATTTGACTCTGTTTCATCTCTTCCTTATTTCAACTTATTTCATACTGTGTCTGAATCAGTTTACAATTTCATAAAAGTCTGCACAAAAATTATTTGGGAGGGGCAACAAATTTGTAATGAAAGCCCCTTTTCAGACTCATTTGAACTTATCTCATCCCATTCATGCAATCTTATGAGGCATGAAAGAGGGTTCTACATGAATTCTAAATTAAAAGGCTTATAACTCTGGAATAATGTTGTGACCCAAAACCTGGGCAATTCTTCTGTGCCTCCTGACATTTCTCCATCCTTGCTATTTGTGTTCTAGCATTACATTCAATCTGAAAAAAACTTACAAACTTAACTGCTGATTATTTTTTAATCCTTTGGTTGGTCCTAACAAAGTTGAAGTCTTGACAGAGAATGTTGAACAGGGAAACATGAAACTCTCTCTCTCAGACAGTAAGTCATACTATATCTGCAGAAGCACACTACACCCTCCCTGTTCTAGACAGTGCCCTGTGAATTTTGTGTCCTGATTGGCTTTAGCAAATCCAATAAGAGCTGAATATTATTTACACTAATACTGGCTGAAATCCTGTTAGGTCGGATTTGCCTGAACAATGAGAATACTGTGATTGGCAATAGCAATTATGGGAATTGTAGTTCAACACAACTGGAATGCAGCAGGTTGGGGGAGGCTGATATAGAAGATACATAATTCACCAGAAATATTGCAGTTCTTTTAAGAATGCACTCCTATTTTATCTTCTTGGGACTAAATTACACTGTTTCACCTTGAATTTGCTCACTACTAAATGTGCACAGAATTGCAGGGTAAAATTAGGCCATGCAGGTGAAATGTGAAACAGTAATTCAGTGCTGTTAATGGCAAAGCAAGATAGACTGGCTTACCAAATGGAAGGCTCCTTAAGGTCAATGGGACAATCCTGGGATATGTGGGTTTGAGAATTCCAAGCATATAATTAAATTTCTAAAGTGACTTTGACTCAACATCTATTTCTTGGAACCACAATGTTAGGATAAGCAAACCATTTCTGCACACAATTGATGGTTTCTGACAATGCATGGGTTATTACATTTCCAACTGAGAGCATGTTATATTATCTTTGATGATATACCTAATCTGTAAAATCGTTCAGTATGTGGGTTTGGGGAATGTTGTTTTTCAATTATACCCAATTTAGAACTGGCAAGTTGTTTTTATAAGACTGAAGCACCGGCCCTGAGGCCTGTGCCAGATGTAATTTCTAAAGTGTTCTTTGCATGATCATGTTGTAAAGTGCCTAAAAAAATGCTCTAGCACTATGGGGCAATATATTAAGTCAAAAACAACAACAAGGTCTCCAATCTCTTTAAAACATTAGCAGGAGTTCTCTTTAAGAGGGGAATAATTCATTTAATTTAGTACTGAGAGAGAAAAAGGAGCCATCCTGAATTAAGGATCTAGCTGTGGAGCTGGAGGTTCAATTCCCCACTATGCACCCCAGAAGAGCCAGCCTGTGTGGCCTTGGGCAAGCTGCCTAGTCCCAGGGCACCCCTAGAAGAAAAGAATGGTAGATAACGTCTGAGTACTCTCTACCTAGAAAACCTCGAAAAGTCTTGCCAGAATGTCGGAATTGAGGGAGCCATTCTGAATTAAGGATCTAGCTGTGGAGCTGGAGGTTCAATTCCCCACTATGCACCCCAGAAGAGCCAGCCTGTGTGGCCTTGGGCAAGCTGCCTAGTCCCAGGGCACCCCTAGAAGAAAAGAATGGTAGATAACGTCTGAGTACTCTCTACCTAGAAAACCTCGAAAAGTCTTGCCAGAATGTCGGAATTGAGTTGATGCAACCAGGGCACCCCTGGAAGAAAAGAATGGTAGATAACATCTGAGTACTCTCTACCTAGAAAACCTTGAAAAGCCTTGCCAGATTGTCGGAATCGATTTGATGGCACACAATGATTACTATTTGTTACATCCAAATGATTTTGGTCTTTATTTTCCTTTTCACTCCCTATCTTTGTCATCTGAAACAGCTTTATTCTTTAATACGCAGTACGCTTCAGCACTGTGCCTTTTTTACAGGAAACCTGAAGAGCTCTCCAATACCGCTTTTGACAACCCACTTTATGAGGCTCAGAGTGTAAAGGTAGGTGGAAACCACCTGACATACTCGTTCAGAAGTGGATGATATAAAGCTGCAATTGTTTTCCTGGGATATTGCCCATCAAAGAAAGTAAGAACATCCCCGGGTGGATGTATTTAAATGAAGAATACACCTTTTACAAAAGCACAATGTTCTTACTGGCAACTGGAGAAAGATTTCTCTTGCAGTGTACTCTCCGTGCACTAGTAAACTCCACTTGAAAGTCAATTCAGTACTAACAATACAGTGGTGCCCCGCATAGCAACGATAATCCGTGCAGCAAAAATCGCTGCAAAACGATTTCGTCGCTATGCGGATTTAAAAAGCCCATAGGAATGCATTAAAACCCGTTTAATGCATTCCTATGGGCAAAAAACTCATCTTTAAGCAAAAATCCTCCATACGGCGGCCATTTTCGCTGCCCGGTAAGCGAGGAATCTGGGCAAAAACACAGCGGGTGGCCATTTTTTTACCCGGTAGCCATTTTGGAACAGCTGTTGGGAAATCATCGCTACGCGATGATCAGTATGCGAAACAGTATACCAATCATCGCAAAGCAATTTTTTACCATTAAAACCATCGCAATGCGATTGCAAAAACGATCGCAAAAAATCATCGCTATGTGGATTCGTCATTAAATGGGGCGCCCGTTAAGTGAGGCACCACTGTATAGCTGTAGCCTTGGTTATTTTGACTGAGGGCCGGTAACCCTTAAATATGCCCATGTAAGTTACTTATCATGTTGTTTTCAGGAAACAGCAGTGACAATCTACCAGGCACAGCAGTTCTGCAAACTTTGTTAATTTCCATGATGTTTACACAAAGTTCAATGTGTACCCCTCAGGGGAAAGTACATGCTTTCCATGTTGATGCACCCAAGGTTGATCTCCGGCATCTCACATTAGAAGGACAAGGTGATGGGAAAAGACCCAGCCTGCAGACACATCTGCCAGTTTTGCTTTCTCTCCTGTTTAAGCTTTGTACATGTTGATAATTTCAGGTCAAAAAAGAATGAAAATTCTCACCAATTTGTGTGAACTCCTGACCAAACACTCTCATTTAGGGTAGTTCTTATGAGGCTACATGCTCAGTCAATTGGGTTGATTTGCTGCAATGATGCCTCTATATTGGTTTAGAATAAAGACTGTGGGGCTGCATCGCTTAATGGATTTTAGTGAGCAGCTGGAAAGGTTCTCTGGGTGACATATCCCAAAATCACCCAGCCAAGAAACAGAGAATTAGTTACTTTATTCAACCACTTATGCTCTTGCTACTCCTCTGAAGGTTATGAAATGGGGGGGGGGAATTGTGTATGTATCATTCCTTTCAAATTCGGTAACTGCAGTATCACCATGTGCTTCATTGCAAAATCATACTGAACAAACTAAATTTAGCAGAAAACCTACCTATTGCTCTAAGTTTCCTGAATTCCATTTGCTATATATATATTTGCCATAGAATGGGGGAAGGTAGCACAGTAGACAGTCTGTGATCAGATATATATTCTTTCCCTTGGGTAATTTTCTCCTTAGATTTTGTCCCCCTTGTTCAAGGAAGCTGAATTACTTCTTTACTGTCCTTTGTTCTCCCAACTCCCTGATGGACATCAGCATACTTACACATAGATAACCCAACTTTGGGGGCTTTTGTGCTCAAGTCCAGTTTTACTGTATGCTGCGTTTATACTGCCTCATAGTACTTAAAGCATTCTCTGGGCAGCTTACAATTTAATTATGGACGTAAAACTGAGTACTCAGTTTTCCAACTTCAGCTCAATTTACCAGCCCTCTGATGCCCTTCCTGGAACACTATGTTTTTGACCTTTTACCTTACTATGAACAAGGTGGATGATGACCCATAATTCACAGCCATAAGCTCATCTCACTAGCCTGCTACCGTCTGCTAAGGTAACTACCAAAAATTCCTACGAATTCATCCAAAGCTACCAAAAATTCCTACAGAACTGATATAAAGAGTTTCATGTTTGATCCCTTTCCTAGATCTCTAGCAAATAATTTTCCTTTTTCAAGCTGCCACATGCTTGAAGCTATCCACCATGATTGCAAGGTTTCTTTCCTGGTCAGTTACCGACTGGTGGCGCCCCACACTGTATATGTCTTTTTATACTGCAGTGTTTATTACTACACACTAATGTGCATCTGTTGTTTTATTGCCCAGACACCTAATTTGTAAACATCTTTGTAAACCTCTATGCTAACCCTTTTTGAATTTACCATTCTGTGTATTTTGGCATCATCAATAACCCTGGCCAACTCTCTGCTCACCTCTGACTCCAGATTATGTATGAACCTATGAAGAGTGCTCTATATATGGATAATGTATTGCAGTGAGGTGGATTCCATTTCCCATCAGCCATTGCAGCTTGTTGTAGGGCCCTGTCACTACAATATTTCTGGCATTTCCTGCTTGATAAGCAGGAAAAAAACTCAAGGCATTACAGTACATTTGAGTCCTGAATGTAATACTCTCTTGAATTATGTTCATTCAGGGAGTTGACCTGGTTCACGTGGAGGCCTTACCGTTAATGTTTTGCTAGTGCTACCCTGATAAAGTCACCAGATTCCTTAAACAACTTATGAGAATTTTCCTTCGGCATCCTTACTTTTTTTTCCAAACCAGTAAGCTATTTTATTGATAATACTGGCAACATTACCATTGTTTTGTTCACTGCTGAATAAAATTGGCCTAAAGCTAATGTTTGTCTCTTTTGTAGTCTACAGAGTGTGCTGCCTCACTGGGAGTTCAGATCAGTGTTTCTCCTTGGCAGACACAGCAGGAGGTAGGCGTGAATGGCTTTCTTTTTAAAAAAATGCTTTCTGGAAAACTTCTTTACCCCCAGGTAGATTGCAAATATGATTCCATTCCACTACCATTAGGCAGAGAACTGGGTCTTTTAAGCATTTCTTTACATTTGCAGAGAAGCTTACATTTGCTAATCATTACAAGAATGCAAATACAGTGGCCCAATTTTTTTCCGCTGCTTTACTAGGGAAGTGATTCATAACAATAAGCTGAAAGGTCCTGTCATGGGTATAAAAAAGGGCCCATTCAGAGCAAAGGAGCAGAACTCTTTTGTCTTGCTGCTGTGCTAGTGCGAAGTCCTGTTTCCTGCTCAATGTGGCCCATGACTTGAGATGGGAGGACGTACTCCTTCTCACTTCCTCCCTCACTTTTAAACCCCAGAGAAAAGCATTGTGAGTGAAGCCATTATGGAGATGACCTGTGGCAGTTCAGCACAGAAAACCCTCAAAACTACCCTGTTCCACAGTACCTTGCTCACCTGAGCACAGAGCAAGGCATTGGGGGCCTGGTAGACTCTGGAGTGCCACGTACTCATTATGAATGTGACATTCTTGTGCGGGAAAATAGGTGCTACAGTTCTTCCGAACTGGAGACATTGTCAGGAAGCTTACTGACTGTGCCATTTGACAGAGCTGGAATGGGATCAGTGGCACTCTCCACAACAGTTCCTTGCACTACACTAGACAACAGGAATATTTGTTTGTTTCCTAATACAGCAAGCATATCGTAAACTCAGAAGAACATCCTAGAATCTTATTTAATTAAAAGATGATTGATTTCCTCTTATACCTTCCTAATCTTATGGTTTCCTCATTTGACAACCTGAATTTCAGCACAGGATGTTTGTTTCAGTAAAAAAATCTACCATTTCATCTCTCACAGTTGTAGAGGGAACAACCTGGTCCTTTATCACCAAGGCAGTTGCTTTAGAAACTAACTATCTGAAATGACTAAAAACACAAGAGTTCATTGCCTGGAGGTTGACATTAATCTTCTTCTTCCATAAGTAAACATGTGTGGTATTTCTTCCACTCTGGACCTATGATACATCAATAACTTTACAAAGGATTTACTAATTATGATGCAGAACTGCACCCTGTGAGCCCCACTATAAAGAAGCTTCATTTTGTAACTGTGAAATGCAGTTGTATTGTCTCCATACACAGTCTATACTTCAAGCTTGTAACCCAGCTGCATGTTCAGTTCACTGTTGTAAAAGTAGCTTCTCTCATATGCTGAGGAGACCTTGACATGACATACATATTACTTCCTTGTGGATATGTGGTTTGGAGCAACAGAATCACTAGGGGTCAAATTAGACATCAGAGAGAGAGAGAGAGAGCTTTTATCTTCCATTAACTTGTTTTCCCTTGATGAAAGAGGGAAAACTGAATTGTTTTGAGAAATCAGAATTGTAAATTAAGTCTATGTTTGGCTTCCAATGATCAATCACAAAACAGAATACACTTCATGCAAGATACACAGTTGGTGAAAAGCATATCCTCTGTCAAACAAGCTTGAGGAATCACCTCTTCCAACTACACTTGAGGGATCACCTCTTCTAACTACATGCTAAGTGTATGATCTAGTTTGGCCTTGAAAGTTAGAATATATTTCTGAGGCACACCCAAATGGCAGCTTGCCTACCTAGGCTGAGCCAATATATTTTTGTGTCTGAGACAAAATACAAAATAATACTTCCTCTCCATTTACGCACAGAAATGGACTGAACTGTTAGCTCATTAACTCTTCCCTCTCCCTTCCCCTTCATTTGCCATTGTTAGAAGGACCGAAGAAAGCAGTGCCATCATCTGTGTTGATGTAAGGTGATACTCCTAGTCTGGTCAGCTTTTGTTTACAAAATGGAGGAAAACACCATTTTGTCCTCCACTTCAGGCAGCCAAATGCTTTTAACCCAATCATGAGTCAGGCACTGTTTAGATATAATTTTAGCTCCTGTTTTGAAAGGACATACTATTTCTACCCATCCTCTGCCCCACCACCCAGTTTTCTTGCAGTAAAGATCGAATGGCTACTTCCTTTGCCAACCCTCTATATGGCACAGCTACAGGAAGAACCATGGAGGCGCCATGAGATGTCACTGGAAGCGGCCACAAAACAGGATGGATACTTTACGCAACTTCATCTGGTGGAATGTTTTCCTTGTCTCTAAGACTTGAACTGAATAATGGTAGAGCATTAGTCACTTGAATGAAAATGGGATGATTTTCATATTAAAATAATTATCTTCTCCAGATTACACTTCATTAAAAATAGCATCCACCCACACAAGGAAACAGAGTCTTACGTGATATTTAAGTTGGCACAGAATATTCTTGGTTACTTTTGTTTTGAATTGACTACATGGTTGAACAGTTCAAATTCCAGTGTGTTAATAAAGAAAAGTTTCACTTAATCAAAAACAGGACTGGGGTTTTCTTGGCATTCTAATTTTATTGCATTTATTGAAAAATGATGACTCAAAAATGTCCATATTCTAAATCCTAGGACTTAAAAGGTTGTATGAGACACAAAAGAACAGCCCTCAGCAGAATCCGAGTCATCAAAGTGATTACAGTGGGATTGCTTTTTCTATAACAACATACCACAACATATACCTAAGAGGAGTTAATTCATTTGACTTCTGTCAGTTCTGCTTTGATTTGGATTCCTGCATTGAGCAGGGAGTTAGACTCAATCACCTTATAGGCCCCTTCCAACTCAACTATTTTATGATTCTATTTTGGGCTAGTAATATTCTCATCACATCACTTGTGAAGGTAAGATGGGGAGAAAGTGCCATATAAATCAGTGGTTCTCAGCCTTTCGTATCTTACTTCTTACCAATACCTTAAGCCCTACTTGGTAGTTAACTAGCTGATTGTAAGTAACGTACTTGCAACAATCACTCAGCAACAAACAACAATCAGTCCCTAAACTCTTCCCCATAGTTTTCACCATATGGAGTGAAGAAGAAGAAACTCCTGCTCATAAGTAGGCTCTACACATGAACAAGAATAGCCCCCCCACCCCTCAGTTTTCCATGATTTTTGATTTTGTGTAGAGCCAACACACAACTTGGAACCTCTCCTGTTTGGAAATGTCACTAAGCAAACCAGGGATGGACAGGGGAACAACTAGTCATGCCTTTGAAAGTGTATTGGCTACAATTAGGGAGATAATGACTAAACAGGGCTTTACTCTGTCAAAGACCATGATGACCAAAACAAAAACTCTAAGGAAGATACTGGTATGCTCACAGGCCTTCTGTTATTAAACTGATTATTTTTGGCCAATCAATAGACACTGAAAATGGAGGACTGGAAGATACAGCAAATGTCCAAAATTACTACAAGCTTATAATAAGGTTGCAGCCGGATAATCTGATGAAGGTACCTTAGGGAGCAAGCATTGTAATGTTCAGCCCTGCCCTCACCTGTCCGTCACAGCTGAGCAGTGGAAAAGGAGCCAATGAGGGAACGGAAGGAGGTGCAAAAGGGGGAGGGGCTGGGATATAAAGGAGTGTATGGAGTATGTGAGATAGGGTTAGAGTGAGATCTGGAGAGATCTGGTGTGAGAGAGAAAGAGTTTGTTAGAGGCCTGCGTGCCTGAGTGTCAGTGAGGATCACTGGTCTATTTGATTGATTTAAAATAAGAAAGTGATTTACATCTTGATTATCTTCCTGTGATTTGCTTATTTTATTTTGTACTCAATAAACCAGTTTTGTTTTTGAAAGAAACCCTTGTCCTTTTCATTTAAAGGAAAGGTTGGTGGCAGCAAGAGTGTATAGTGGCGTGGTGGGCATTCTGAGAGGCCTGGAGTTGGCAGTAACTTTGGAGTGGCCTGCCACGTTACAGCAGTTAACCACAGTTGCAGGAGATTGAGGGAGAGTGAATTTTTAATCACTGTTATATTTCCCACCTGGAGCATTTCTGGTCTCATCAGTGGTACATAGACCATTGGTTGAGAACCATGACATATGCCATCCATTTAGGAAAGGTGGGATATAAATGCAATGAATTAAATATTAAATAACATATGTTTGTAATTTCACTCAATCTATACATTATTAAACCATTCTTCACTATTGGAACTGTATTCATTCTTAATAGGTATGAAGGAGTCATCCCCTGAAGATAAAGGCAAGGAGGGAGGGGGAAAATGGAGAGTGAGCAAGGACAAGAGGACCAGATAGAGAACACAGCTACGGAAGCAAAAAGAGAAAAAGGCGGGAAGTTTGAAGTGAGCTTGTGGAGGAACATGAGGGAGCGAAAGGGATGGAGCAAGAGTTGTCCATTTGGGAGGAAAGTATAAGTAGCCAGGGAGAACGCTGATTTGAGGTAGAACTAGAGCTGTGGAAGAAATGGAGAGTGAGCAAGGACAAGAGGACCAGATAGAGAACGCGGCTACAGAGGCAAAAAGAGAAAAAGGCGGGAAGTTTGAAGTGAGCTTGTGGAGGAACATGAGGGAGCGAAAGGGATGGAGCAAGAGTTGTCCATTTGGGAGGAAAGTATAAGTAGCCAGGGAGAACGCTGATTTGAGGTAGAACTAGAGCTGTGGAAAATGGAGAGTGAGCAAGGACAAGAGGACCAGATAGAGAACACAGCTACGGAACCAAAAAGAGAAAAAGGCGGGAAGTTTGAATTGAGCTTGTGGAGGAACACGAGGGAGCGAAAGGGGTGGAGCAAGAGTTGTCCATTTGGGAGGAAAGTATAAGTAGCCAGGGAGAACGCTGATTTGAGGTAGAACTAGAGCTGTGGAAGAGGAAGAAGGAGATAGAGAGGCTGAGGGAGTACGAAAGGGTGAAGACACAAGAGCTACTGAGAGACTTCCCTAACCTAAAGCTAGGAGGGCTGCTTCCAGATCCTATGCCCAAAGAGAGTGGGGAAATGAAATATGAGACTCTTGAATGGTCCATAGTGGTCTTTCCCAAGAACAAGAGATGCAGACAACAAGTAATACGACCAGACACATGGCATAACACCCCTCCATTGGAAGGTGATTGGGCAAGGTGTCCATGCTATGGCACCATTTGCACAGTACGGAGAGCGCCTCTGAGGAAGCCGACAGATGCCGAGAGATTTGGCACACCACTCCTCTAGGTTCAGCTGATGGGAGACTTGATTATGTGATGAACAGTTACAGCTTGTTGCCTGAGTTGAGTTTCTTTGACCCTGTTAGGAACAACATTGACCTTCCTGTTGTTAATTAAGATGAAGTTGTTAAGGTTAAGAAGACGTCTCCTGTGGTATTTCCCACGCAAAATGAGGAGTTGCCAAAATTTGAAACTGAACCCATGCACAATAGGTATTCTACATGAAGTTGAGTTGTGGTCAACAAATATTAACAATGGAGACTAGTACATTATTAAGTGTAATTAACCCATCTTACTACTGAACAGTCCATACCAAAAAACCACCACAGAGACAACGTAAAATAATCCCCATATAACCACTTGATTTAATGCAGGAATGAAATGAATTTTTGAGTGTGCTATTTTTGTGGCTGTTTCCTGTCACAGGAAATGAGATCTGTCATTCTCTGGACTGTCCCTGCAGCAAGGTGGGACTTTTACCTAAAATCTTCTTCAGAATTTTGCATTTAGATAGCATTTTAAAGAGAAGTCTAATAGGTGCTTTCTCTCTTTCGTCTTGTCCATCCCGCAATCATTGTTCAATACTCTTATTGCACAAAGAACAGAAGATGCATTTAGATGTCCAAAATTACTACTGCCTTCTGCTTGGCAGACCCATAATGGCAGTAATCGACCTAGAAACAGAACATTTGGAAAAGCCAACTTAATCCTCTGAGTCTGTTCCATAGGGCTATAATAACTTGAGGGTTCTGGGAGATTAATTTTTTTAAAGAAAAAAAAGTAACTTTTCCCATTTGTGGTGTGGACCACTTTTCTAAGTGTTTTTCCTTATCTACTGTTCTTATTAAATATATTCTGGGATACTTCCTCAGCAAAAGGTAGATACCGAGTGTGAGTCGATGGCCATTTGTCCTGTGGTTTGGTTGGGGCTGAATGGGTTGGTTCGCTCCTTTTCCTGACAACTACACAACGTATGTAGATCATGAGCCATCCTGATGAATATCAACCTGCAACTTTTTGATCTCTGTCAGGGACTACTGTTTTTTGTTGTTGTTGTTTTTTATGCAGGTAGGGTTGCTCCATTTTGGTTTGGTTTCACTGTATATGATCACTGCGACTGAACCAAAGCAGATGGCTTAAGCTGACCCTTTGCTTAAATTGCTTAATGATCTTTAGAAATTGAAAGTTTCCTTTCATCTCCTCTGTGAAGGGGAAATGAGAGGACGTTTTCTCTCTCTTTTTTAATTGTTGATAACACATCTGCGGTGCTTTGAAAGGGCTTCCCCCCCCAAAAAAAGAGCTTTTGCACTGTGTGAATTAGCAACAATAAAAAAATAAATGCAAATCTTTGTCTCCCTTCTCTTCTATGGGGGAGTGGGAAGGAAGTTTTCCAGTTCTCAGGATCATTAATCAGCTTCAGCAAAGCAAAGAGAAGGAAACAGGAAGGAGACGCCCCCTTTCCTTTAAAGAGAAAAAGGATCTAGATCATATTGCTTGAGGTGCGGTGTGGTGGATTTTACCTTTTCATGACATGCTAAACAGGTTTGCTTGAGGTGTGGTGTGGTGGATTTTACCTTTTCATGGGACATGGAGGGATCTGATATTTTGTATCTCAAAGTGATGCTCTTTAGCACAATCTGGACCTGCCCAGACTGAGATAATTTGACCATCTAATTGTGCCCTAAGTTATCTGCTTTGGGAACAAGAAATAGTTATGCATCCCATGTTTGAAATTGACATGGCCAATATCCAGGAAATTAGGATTTATAAGCTAGTGTTAGACATGGGAACTTCATACAGTATTTGTATTCCATGGGATACAAATACAAAGCTCGGCACCACAGATGCCACGGTGGTCTATTTCTTCCCCCCAGAACCAGCCCAATACACTCCCCTGGGCTCCTCTTGGCACACACATCCAGTGGCAGCAACATTGTGCCAATCATGGACAAAGTCCCACTGGTGCTGCCCCACCTCTCCTCTCAGCTGACCACTCAGCAGCTGAGTGGGGAGACTCGTCTTCCCACCTCCTTGCTGGAGCACTCGGCTGTGGTGAGAGGTGGGGCAGTGCCAGCAGGATGATGTCCATGACGCCATCTTCAGCTATCTGAAAATCTGTCAGACTGATGAAGCAAAATTGCTGTTGTTCTAGGGGCTGAACCTGAAAATGTCAGATATTTGACAGTGGAACAGTGTCAGAACGTCCTGAAAGTGTCAGATATTTCACAGTGGAACCCCAGAAGATGGTGGATTCCCCTT